ATATTTATAAAAACATAAAACACTTTTATCCACAGATTGATCTATTACGCTTTGTTTTATTTATATGGTCTCAACAAAGACCTTATCACATCCCTACATAGTTTTATTAATATTATTAATAATAATAACAATACTACTCCCACTACTATTACTACTACTAATAATATTATTTAGAACACTAAATAAAGTCATAAAATTATGCCATTTTCATATATTTTGTTAAGTTTGTTTCCCACTTCACTGTCAGCATTGAGCTGAGTTCTTCTAGGGTTTTATTATCATTATCATTATTATTATCATTATTATTGTTTTATTTCAATCTAACACGATGTGATGCAACCTGTTGAACCTCCTCACTCTCAAGGCTGTTCCACTGGTCCTTTCTTTAATACTAATTAAGTAAAAATATAAAAGTTTTCTGAATATATGGTAATAATGTTTGTTATGATTGAATTAGTGCATTATTTATGTCAAACACAAACTCATACCCAACACTTTAATAGATTTTCTAGCAATGCCTTTTGTGTTTAAAATACATTTATGCGTTCTAAAATGACAATTGGTAAAATTAGGAAGTCAACAGAGTTCATTTATTGATTAATTGATTTAGTCCACTGCTGATTAAGTTTTTTAAGAGGTGTTAATATTGAATAATCACTCCACATCCATCCATCCATCCATCCATCCATCCATCCATCCATCCATCCATCCATCCATCCATCCATCCATCCATCCATTATCTTTACCCGCTTCTTCTTTTGAGTGAGTTGAATGAGACCAAATACAGAGAGGAGGTGGAACACCTGGTGCACACAATAATCTCTGCATCAATGTGAAGAAGACCAAGGAGATGGTGGTGGATCTTACCATACCATTTTATTTATAGAGCACTTAAAACAGCAACAAGGCCAACCAAAGTGCTGTACAGACAGAAAAACAGGCAACACACAAAGCAATATACAAAATGAGGTAAATCAGAATAAAGACACAAAAACGATGCAGATAATAAATATGACGACTAACCAGTGTGGAGCGTACAGGTTCAAAACACAGATCATCTGGTGTTGAAAGCTACTGAATAGTAGTGGGTTTTTAAATGGGACTTGAAAACTGAGAGGGTTTTAGAAGGGACAATGATCCTCTTCATCCCCTACACATCAGAGGAGCAGCTGTGGAGGTGGTCTCCTGCTACAGGTACCTGGGGGTGCATATATCCAGTGACCTCACCTGGAGAGCCAACACTTCCTGTCTGGTCAAGAATGCCCACCAGCGTCTCTACTTCTTTAGGAAGCTGTGGAGAGCTGGACTTGGGAGCTCTGTCCTGAGGAGCTTCTATCGCTGTGTGTTGGAAAGTGTTCTCTGCACCTGCATCACCGTGTGGCACAGCAGCTGCACTGCTGCTGAGAGGATGACTCTGCAGAGGGTGGTTAAGGATGTACAGAAGACTGGGGAGCAGCCTTCTCACCACCTTGGACCGTTACACATCACAATGCAGGGGGAGAGCGCTCCGCATCATGAAGGACTCCACTCATCCTGCACACAGTCTGTTCCAGCTCCTCCCTTCAAGCAGGCAGATGAGGAGCGTTCAGATCAAGATCTGAGACCTGAGCCTGAATTTCATACCATAACAAGCAAATGTGAGCTGGTATGACAATAAAAAATCCTTGAATTCTTTTCGGGTCATGGGGGTTACTGGTGCCCATATCCAGCCAATCACTGTGCAGGAGGCGGGGTACACCCTGGACAGGTCTCCAGTCCATCACAGGGACACATAGAGACAAACAAACATTCACTCTCTCACTCACACCTAGAGACAATTTAGAGTTACCAATCAGCCTAACATGCATGTTTTTGGTCTGTGGGAGGAAACCGGAGTACCTGGAGAGAATCCACGCATGCACGGAGAGAACATACAAACTTTACCCAGAAAAGCCCCGCCGACCGGGATTTGTCCCAGCGACCTTTTCCCTGAGAGACGGCAGCTCTACCAACTGCGCTACCGTGCCACCCAATCAATCCACATTAAAACATGAAAATGCATTTATGAATATAAGATTTTAATTTAAAACATAAATATCATGAATCAACATTTATTTAAACCTTGATTAAAATACTGTATCTCTTCTTGCGCCTGCACATTATTTATCAGAACTTGATATTTTCATCTAAACCTAAAACTCCTGCATTTGTAAATCAAATATAAAGTGTGTTGATAAACAACTTGTTCTGGCATCTGTTGTTATTTGTGCTAACTTTAAAAGTAAACAAGTTGAAGCTCACATGAAGAAACAGACTCGGGTTCATTGGATCTGCTGTCTGTGGCTGCAGCACGACCCACTTAGATGAATCATAAAATAGACTTTATACATTTAACATTTGGCTTGGGTTTTTAAAGAACAACAAAAGTGTTTTTGTTTAAACTGAATTCCAGTCGTCATATTAAGTGCGATTTGTCTTTTTCAATCATTTTGATTTTTCTGACACCTGAGTCTTCACCCAGGCTCAGGTTGGCCAGTAATCTGTATTTACTGTGCGCCACAGAGAGAAGACACGCTGCAGCAGCTGAACCATGGAGACTCCTGGGTTGCATTTCTGGATGGAAGGTTCTGATGTTACTGATGAGGACTGCGAGGAGGAGACCTCGAGGGACTTGGAGAGATTCAGTGGCTGGAACATCCTGCCTGATGTGGCCCTCCTGCACATCTTCGGGTGTCTCCCTGATGCTGCTCGTGGCAGAGCAGCTCGGGTTTGCCACCGCTGGTACCAAATCATGCGATCACCCTGTCTGTGGCGCTGTCGCCATTTCTGTTTTAATGGTCATCTCTCCAAATACAAGCCGCCTGAGTACCAAACAGCTATGGGCTACATACGCAGTCTGGGGGTCTTCCTGGAAACATTAAATGTGACTGTGTGCCCTCCAAGAAGCCAGATGCAGGCCAGGCGGCTGCATAAGGCCATTTGCACAATGATGAAGGAACTCATCAGGTACAGCTTGGTGTTTATAAAGACCTCTCTGAAATCATCTTAGTGACAAATTACTGAATACTCGCTTTGTCTCCACAGGGTAAGAGCCACCCTTAAGTCCCTGTCTCTCACCAGTCTGGAGCTGGACACGTACAGCTGGAGTCAGGAGCACAGAAGCTCTTTGGCCGATATCCTGATTCAATTCTTCATAAAAGGGGCCTCAAAGCTCAACTTCCTTTGTCTGTATGGAATGAGGAATGACGTGTCACAGGTGAACGCAACATCAGTCCAAATATGATGCCCACTTTTAGCCTATTGCTACTAAAGAGTAAAATTAGTTAGTACTAGTAGTATCAAGAAGTATTAGTAGTATTACTATTAGACATTTTATTAACATTATTATTACCTGATAGAAAAAGTACAAAAATGCTAGCTAAAAACAGTTTATCTGTAGCTAAGTTGTAAAATTTTAGTAAAAAGTCGGCTAAAAGTATCAAAGGGTAGCTAAATGTAAAAGATAGCAAAAGGCTGCTAAAGGTTAAAAGTAGCAATTACATAAAAGCTAAAAGTAGCAAAAAGCTAGCTTAAATGACCAAAAGGCTAGCCAAAACTAGCTAAATTCAAATTCAAATTCAAATTCAAAAATACTTTATTAATCCCAAAGGGAAATTATTTGTTGTAGTAACTTGTTATCCTCATTTCATTGAGAGATGTTATGGATAGTGATGGCTGTAGACAGGAAGGATCTCTTGTAAAGGTCCATCTCACAGTGGATCCTAAGAAACTGGCTGCAGATGCCGTCCAATCCGTCCACCCAGACTCGGCTGGCCTCTCGGTTCCAACGGGCTGTAGGACCACCCGAATGCAGGGCAGAACTCCTCCCAGAGTCATGGCCACTCCTCCCAGCAGTCTGCCGAGCTCCTCGTCGCTGTGGACAGCCAACTGTAGGCGCTGATGGACGATCCTGTCCTTCTGCTGTCATGAGCCATGTTTCCTGCTAGTTCTGGGATCTCAGTGGTCAGGCACTCGAGCACAGCTGGCAGGTAGATGAGAATGCGTCCACAGAGCGTCCTTTTCAACTCATTTGAGATTTGGGGCTGTAGTTGAGATATTATTTGAGCTTTTGAGATGTTAATCAGCTGCTGTTGGTTTTAGAAAACTGCCTTGTTGCCATGGTTACGCATCATAACAAATGTCCAAAACTAAAAAAGTTTCAGTAAAAATCCTTCCAGCTGCACAGCATCTGATACCAGAGGAAACAATCATCCAAAAAATATGATTTACATCCAGAAAAAGAGGAATTAAAGTTTCCAAAAGCAAAATCTCAGAATGAAAGTAACAGAGCTGTTCCAACATGCAACCACCTTGAGCGGTGCAATTCTAGAACTAATGTAAAATATAGCAAAAGATTGGCTAAAAGCTAAAACTGCAAAAAAGCCAAAAATTGAAAACGCTAACTAAAAGTAACAAAAGACTGGCTAAATGTTAAATGTAGAATAAGAAAACAAAAAGAGCAAGTAGCTGAAGCAGGTTTCAAAGCAAACAAAGTGTTCTGAAGAAACTGAAGAACTCTCAATGTATTTCTGTGGGGAAAATATTTGTAATAAACTTTAATACTTTGTAAAAGAAAATCAAAGGTCATGAGCTGAAGGTTTTAATATATGAATAGCTTAAAGCACAAAGTCTGCAGAACTAGTTGGATTACAAAAAACATACAGAAAAATAAACAAATGTTACTGTAATATTATTATTTTTGTTTATGTGCCTATTATGTATGAGACAAATACCCAAATTTTAATATATTTTTAAGTTTCTGTTCAAAGTTTAGGCTCAGTCCATCACTCTACTTAAATGTAGCCCTAACAGCTGTAAAACATAATTAAATCTCCTGTTTTCTGGTCTTCTTAACTTGCAGGGTGTGAATGTGCTTTGGGCCATGCTAAAGTACCAGCAAGATCTTTCTCCTCATGGCAGCCTCTCTTCTTTAGACTTGAAAGATTTTTTTTCTACTCATCTTCCAGTCCGGTTCAACTGTATGCCCTACGTCCTGCGTCAGCTGCAGGGCCTCACCTACCTGGGCTTGAGCTACTCCTGCCTGTCAGATGAGCTGATAATGGAGCTCTGTCAGAGTCACAGAGGAGCGGGGTACACCTCTGGCAGAAGTGGAAGCAACCTGCAAACACTGGAGTGCACTCTGAGTGAGCTACCGGTACATCGACAGGTTAGGAGTGGGATTGTTGAGTACAAAAAGAGACACACTGTATCTGTCTGATCCAGGATGTAGCCACATGTTCGTAGGGGTGAAGATGCTTTAGAAATTATGCTTAAGTCTGCATAGATGATAGAGAATGTAAATAAAATTAAAAGGCCTCATTTTCCTTTAGAAGCTGGTTTGCAGCCGATCATGGGCAACTCTGGCATCCAGCTGCCCGGACCTGGAAGTCCACCTCTCAGTGGAAAAAGTTATCACCACGGACAGCCTGGCACAGATCCTACTGCCTGAAATCCCCCTGAGAAATTTCCAAATGACAGCTTTCTACTACCCCAATGAAAACTTTAGCATCCGGCCTCTCCTCTGTCACATGCTGCCTCTATACGGACACTGCCTGCAGGTAATGCTGGTGAGCATTCAGCACAAACACTTAGCACTACCTCTGAGTGCACGTGTGTCTGATGATGTAGGAGCTTAAAACTTCAACTCAAGGGTTGTTGAAATAAACTGCAACAGTTTGGTTATTAATAACACATAATTCATTGTAACCTGCACACCTTTTACTCCAGAACCTTTGTCCCAAAACAAACACTGCCCTGGCATTTTCTGTAAGACGTTTCTTGTGCATCTACAGCTAACACCACTTTTAAATGGCAAGAACATGGTCAGGAATCTGGATATGGGTCTAAAACTATAGAAGCCCAGAAATTCCCATGCAGAAACTTAGCCCAGAAACTGGCCCTGGTAGAGCGGAAGAATGGTTCAAACTACCCTGAAGCTATGGTTTGCAGGGTGGGGTTGGGGGGGGGGCAAACTTTTCTGACTGGTTGAATTTCTCCCCAACTATAATCCCTGAGAAATGAACCAAAGCTGCTTCTGTGCATGCGAGTGCTAAAAATCTTCCTGATTGGAGCCCCTCTCCTCTGTAGCTTCAGAAGTGATTAACATTAAATGTTGTGTTCCTATCATTTATTTTAAATCATGTAAAGTAATTATCTAAAGTACAGTTATGTTCTTGTCTGCTTAGAGTGATTACACAGGTAAGCACAGTTTGCAGCTGCTACCACTTGACTGGGCTTGATGGGCTCATTAGAGCATACTCTTTACTGCATTTTCACAACATGGGTTTATTTAACTAAAATAAAGCTGTTTCTATGTGTTTTGGAGTCGATGACACAGGATGCACGCACAACTGGCTCTCACAATGTGTGGTTTCACCGTAGCACCCAGCAAGATGGAGGCAACAACCCTTGCCTGGCAGTCGTTGGTCATTCCAGTGTAAACGAAAGGTTTAGGGTAGCATGATGAAAACATAGCTTTGCTTTCCATTTAATATTTTGTTGCCATAAGAGAGAGAGGCACAGTGTAAGATATGGAAGTAATCACAAATGAAAAAGCACACACCTTTACTATAACATTCAAACGTTCGTGGAGAACCTGCTTTATGACTTCACCAAAGGAGTTTAGACAGACGTTTTCTTGCTCCTCTGCAGTATCTGGCCCTGGATGTGTGCAATCGTTTTGAATTGGTGGATGAGGAACTGCTGAGGCTGGTCTCCATGTGCAAGCGTCTGGTGGATCTGAAAGTCAGGGCTTTCATGGACGTCTTCACCGTGGGGAGACTGCTAGGCATGAGGCTGAAACAAAGGTCCTTACTGAACAAGATCAAAGTAAGGAAACATACCATACCATACCATACCAATTTATTTATAAAGCACTTTAAACAGTGACAAAACACACCAAAGTGCTGTACAGGGGCAAACAGAACAAGCACACAGCAACAGATTACATAACAGGACACCAAAAAGTAGAAACCAACAAAAACAATAATGGATAACAACAAGTTTGATTCTGGACTGACACTGAGGGACAAACACAACTTTATTAATGATCCTATTCAATTTACATTGAAGGTGAAAATCTACTCACAGAGGATCAACATCACAGAGCAGGAAGACGATCTGAAGAAAGTGCTGTCTTTCTACAAGCAACAGTTCCCTCCTGAGCTGCAGGTTCTGGCTGATGTCATCCCCGTTTTGTGACACACCCAAAAATAGAAATAAAAACAACAAAGCATCAAATGTCCATGTTTTCTCATTTACTAACCAAATGAGAAATAACTGGTTGTTGTTTGATATCAGGGCTGAGCTGTTCGTCGGTGCAAAACACTGACCTAGTTTGAGTTAGACCTGATGAAGTCTTCCGGATAGAAGGTGAAATGTTTCAGAAAAAAAAAAACCTGTCCAGATGACCTGACTAAGAATTGTTGGACTGACCTAGTTTCTTTATGGGGGAGGGGGTGGGGTGTATATATATAGGGTACACATGTATGTGTGTGCCTTCACACAGTAAACACACTATTTAAAGTAGCATGGATCAAATCCAACAGAAACATAGCATCCACAGTAAATTTATCTTGATGGTGAAAAGGTTTTATTTAATGATAAAATAATTATGGGAGACTTTGATCTAATTCCTGATCTCTGGTTAGACCGACTCCCAAACTATACTCAAACTAGAGAAATTGTATTTACTGTGAAAGTGAAGTGAAAGCTTATTGCTGAATGTGCTGAAAAACAGATGAAATTAGTTAAAATCATGGTGAAATGTAGCCGAAATGGAAGAACAAACCCAAGTTAGCAGAAGAAAGCAGAAATAACACATATTTGCCGAATTTGGTTTAAATAAGCAGAAATGAGCATTAAAAACTTGGGAAATAAGCTACATAAGCTGAAACTGGCAACAACAACAAAAATAGCTGAAAAGGCAGAAGGAAGATGAAATTACCTGAAGGAAGTGGGAGGAGGTGGAATTAGCTGAAAAAGCTAAATTTAGCACAAAACAGCTATAGTACCGGTAGCTGAAATAGCTGAAATGAGCAGAAACAAGTTAATTAGGTTGAAAGTAGCAAAAATGAACACAAACAACTTGAATCTGTCTGAAAACAACTGAAATAAGCTACAAAATGCTAAAAAGATGAAAAGGTGGAACAAGCTTACAGTAACCAAAAAAGACCATGCTCAATAATCCGGGTATACAATCCATCAATTTTCAGTCAGGTCATCAGGTCAAATTGTTGGATTGTATACCTGGATTACTGAGCATGGACTTTTTTGGTTTTGAGCCAGTTTGACATGACTCTCGATGAGTAAGAAGGCCGGCTCCAGAGGAGGGGGCGTGCCAAAGACGCCATCTTAGCACCAACATACAGTAACTGGTTTGTTCCACTTTGGAGTAAGCTGTTTGGGGAAGAATCAGTTTTGTGTTGCGTGTTTCCTTGATTGATGAAGGCTTCCGGATGGAAGGTGAAACATTTCAGAAAAAAAAAAAAAAAAAAAAAACTGTCCAGATGACCTGACTGAAAATTGTTGGAAGCTTACGGTAAATTATTAGAAGAAAACAGAAAGAACTCATTAGTTAATTTAGGTTGAAAAAAACAGAAATGAGCCCAAAAAGTGTAAATTATCTGAAAAAATATGAAATTAGCAAAAAAAAAAAAACAGCTGAAAATTTGATTAAAAAGCAGAAAGAAGCTGAAACTGCCAGGAGGAGGTGGAGAGGGCACATTTTTGCTGAATTACCGGTAGGCGGAAATTTTTTTAAATGAGTGTAAAAAATGTGTAATTAGCTGAAAATGCTTAAATTAGCACAAAACAGCTAAATAGTAGCTGAAAAAGCAGAAAAAGCTGAAACTTCCAGAAATAAGCTGAAAGGAGAAAAAAAAAGCTGAAATGAGCAAAGAAGCACACAATTGTTGTAGTTAACAGAAATAATCTGAAAGGAGCACAAAACAGCTGAAATTAGCTGATTTTTTTTTTTTTTTTTTTTTTTTTTTTTGCACAAAGGAAGCTGAACAAAATGTGAAAGGAGCTGTAAAAGGTTGTAAATATACCTAAAGATTTGAAGGAGGTAAAATCAGCTCAATTCATTTTCTGAGAAAAAAAATGTCAGAAAAGGCTAAATAGTGTACAGTGAACCCTCGCTATAACGCGGTTCACGGACTCGCTGCTTCATGGATTTGCATTGTGCATTGTGTTCTGCATTCTGATTGTCTAAACAGTCTCTCCAGTACAGTAGTTATTTGTAAAAAAACGTTTATACAGTACTTTTATTTGTTAAACAAATGCTTGGGCCTGTAAAAAGGTTTTGTTCTTTGGTTTGAATGTATTATGGAGTATTTCATTGTATAATAATTGTAAAAAAAAAATAAAGGTTACTACTTCACGGATTTCGCCTATCACGGGTTCTTTTTGGAACGTAACCCCAGTGAAAAATGAGGGTTCACTGTATTTCAAAAAAGTTGCACCAATACCAAAGTCATAGCAGGATCGTCCTGAAAGAGATGAACGTTTTGATATGATTTGTTGAAATAGCACAAGAATTGTGGAACGAGAAAGATGCCAAAAAAGTATGGAAGAAAAATGGATCACAAGAGTGCGAATGCTTCATAAACATTTACACAATTTGTGATTACTCTGTTAGCTTACTGGAGAATAGAACATCCAAATATTGCACAATACTGTATACTTAGTTCAGTGAATCCCGTAAGTGTTCAAGGCTCAAGGAAAGACTACTTTACTGGTTAATATCAAATACTTTATTAAAAACATTTTACAGAGTGAAATAGCAGCAACACCCTTAACTGACCACTGCATAATCTCTTTATCTATCTCATTATATAAGGTGAAGAATATTCTCAATCTAATAGGGAAATTCAATAACACCCTTCTAGAAGATAAATAATTTAGTGAAATAGTCAAACGGCTAATTGGGGAGATAACTAATAATGACCTCTTTAGGTAGGTGGGAATAGTTTAAATTACAAGTCAAACAGGAGGCATTTCAAATCAGTAAACACATGGCTAATCAAAAAAAGATGAAATTACCATGGAAATGAACAAATAATGTGGGAAAACTAACGTATCCACGAAAGAACAGATTAATTTATATAATCTTCAGTCACAGCTACATTAGTTATACGGTCTATGGAAAAACAAAAGGAGCTTTTATATGTGCAAGAGCTCGTTGGATTGACGAAGGGGAAAATAAGTCCACATGCTATTTTTAGTTTAGAAAAAGAGACAATCCAAGAAAAATATCCAAAACTCTTTGTTAATGGGGTCTTTATTGATGAACACATTCAAATGGTAAACGACTGCACTTATATAACGTCTTTTTATCTCATCAAGATACTCAAAGCGCTTTACACTACAATCTGTGCCCTCATTGACCCAATCATACAGCACTCTACTAGACCTATACCAAGAATAAGCAGTGCTTTATCACATTCAGACACCGACGGGAGACACATTGGAGACAATGTTCAGTGTCTTGCCCAGGGACAATTCAGCACGTGACTGATGGTGGAATCGAACCCCCAACTCTCCCATTGGAGGTTGACTGCTCTAACCACTCAGCCACAGCTGCCCATTTAAGTGAATGAGAAAATATGACCCTTTTTGGAGTCGACTGCATTTTGGAATATTAGCGAGCTCTTGTGCAATGCCGTCTTGGAATGTATTTCTTCTAAACATCTTTCTCCCTCATTGTTTGTTTTGTCAAGAGGAAGAAGAAACTCTACATGTTTTTTTTTCTGTGCCCTGTGTCATCCAGTTTATGGCCTTATATGAACAACTGGTTATCACTCAGGATAAACAGTTTGCCGTCCTTTAAATTTAATTTGATTTTGTTTTAAATGGATAATCTGGACCTTGGCTTTCTGATATGGTAAACACAAGTTTTTGCTTGGGTAAATATCATGTACATGCTATTACATAAATTAGACAGCGTGACTGTTCAAATTAGTGTGAACTGGTTTTGTCAAAGTTACACGGTAGGGCAGTTGGTAGAGCTGTTGCCTCACAGCAAGATGATTGCCGGATCAAATCCCGGCTGGGGGGCCTTTCTGTGTGGCGTTTACATGTTCTCTCTGTGCATGCGTGGGTTTTCTCCAGGTACTCCGGTTTCCTCCCACAGACAAAAATGTTAGGCTGTACTTTAAATTATCTCTAGGTGTGTGTGAAAAATTGAATGTTGGTCTCATTTGTCTCTCTGTGTCCCTGCAATGGACTGGAGACCTGTCCAGGGTGTCCCCCACCTCTTGCACATTGACTGCTGGACATGGGCACCAGTGACCCCCAAGACCCTGAAAGGAAGAAGCGGGTAAAGATGAGGGATGGATGGTTTTGTTTTGTCAATAATAATCTTATTATAAACAGCAGGACGCTGAACATTAACAATTAATGAGAAGCTCTACAACTTTAAGTTATAAAATAAGTCTTACATGGACTCTGGTACAGTTCTTGTACACAGGACACCGTTGGGTCATTTATCTTTATCCGGCGTCATGATATCTTTACAACATTCTAACAAGAACTACTTTTGAACGAATACTTTAAGGAATAAATGCTATTAAAACGAAATAATCAATTTCACAAATTTATCAGTTTTCAACAATTTTTTTTACGGATGACGTCACGCAGATTGCCGCGTCCTGTCAGCATCCTCTACATGATTGGCTGAGAAAGTCACGCCAAGTCACGTGACAGGCGGCACCATCAGGTGACCAGCAGCGCCACGCTGGCGCCCCGCCCTCCTGTGTTGTTGTCATCATTCACATTGTCTGAGGAGAGTAGCCCTTTCAGAACCGAGTTGCGCGGACACGTCCGTCCAACATGTCCTCGTTGCTCAAGCCGTTCTCGCTCTGTGAGGGTCCCTGTGAGACCCGCTGTACCCAGAGACAAACCCCGAGCCCGGCTCTCCATCCGCAGCCTCCGGCCCAGCTGGGCTCACTGCCCGAATACCCGAATCTCTTCCCGTGCAGGAGGAAGGTGGCGGCCGCCGCTCCCGGAGGGAGGAGGATCACCCACCCCGGGAAAGCGATCCTAGCAGGTCGGTGTTCTGACACAGATATTCAGAGGCTATGCTGCTGCTCACACTCGGTTCTGCTCAGGCAGAACTGGGTCAGGAGGTTTCCAGCCAGCAGGGATGCTACATGATTTAGCTCCACACGTGTCTTCTGTTACAGCCTACATTGTTACAGCACAAGTTCTTCCTGACCCAACAGAACCTCCAGGAATGACTCGGGTCCCGGTCAAGAGATCCTGACAGGTTTTCTTTTCTCCCCTCCATCCAGGAGGTATTGCAGGAGCCATAGAGATCTGCATCACCTTCCCCACAGAGTATGTGAAGACTCAGCTGCAGCTGGACGAGCGGGCCAACCCACCCAGATACAGGGGCATCGGTAGGTTCTGGGTCCAGACCTCCTGAATTAGGCTGTGTCTCTGAGCTGGGGGTCTAACGTCTGCAAGATGTGTGTTTGCACAGGAGACTGTGTGAAGCTGACCGTGCAGGATCATGGACTCCGGGGTCTGTACCGAGGTCTCAGCTCCCTGCTCTACGGGTCCATACCCAAATCTGCGGTCAGGTGAAGAAGACGCGCACACTTTAATCTGACATGGTTAAACTGAAACAATAACAAAACAACAAAACTGAATTATTTGATTGAGTTCCAGCATCAGAGCTTCATCGCGTTTGTAAACAGCCAACTAGCTGTTATACAGACAAACATGTTGGTAAACAAACAGTCATGTTGGGCGGCTGTGGCTGAGTGGTTAGACCAGTCGTCCTCCAATGTGAGAGTTGGGGGTTCGATTCCACCAGCAGTCACATGCCGAAGTGTCCCTGGGCAAGACACTGAACCCCTCATTGCCTCCGATGTTTGTCCCATCAGTGAATGTGATAAAGCACTGATTATTTTTTGTAAAGACATGGTCAAGGTTTTCTTTATTGTCATTCGCATCACATGTTGTACATGTGGTGGAACAAAATTGTGTACACAGGGTCCCAGTTGCATCCAACAAAAGTATAAATGGTAAAGAAAAACAGTAATAAGATCTAAGATATGAACTAAGAGATACTCTAAACTAAGAATACGCTAAACACTTAATAGTGCAAAAATAATACACCGAACAACAGCAGCACGAACATGAGTCTGTTTGAGCAGATGAGTACAAATGAACACAGCAGCATGAAATAAATCAGCAGCATGAGATCAGGAGCATGGATAGTCAGCAGCACATATCAAGCAGTCAACAACAAAGTGTTAGTAACAACAAACAAAACATAGTAGAGTGCTGTATGAATGGGTAAACGAGGACAAAGATTGTAGTGTAAAGTACTTTGAGTGTCTTGATAAGGTAGAAGGACACTATATAAGTACAGTCCATTTACAGTCCATGTTGGTAAACAGACACTTTAGTTGATAAACAGACTGTATAGTTGGTAAACATACAACTAGTTGGTAAACATACAACTAGTTGGTAAACAGACAACAAATTGGTAAACATACATCTACTTGGTAAACAGACAATCATGTTGGTAAACAGACAACTAGTTGCTAAACAGACATCTAGTTGGTAAACAGACAGTCATGTTGGTTAAATGGACATCTAGTTGGTAAACAGACAACTAGTTGCTAAACAGACATCTAGTTGGCAAACAGACAAGTAGTTAAACATACATCTAGTTGGTAAACAAACAGTCATGTTGGTTAAATGGACATCTAGTTGATAAACAGACAACTAGTTGCTAAACAGACATCTAGTTGGCAAACAGACAACAAGTAGTTAAACATACATCTAGTTGGTAAACAGACAGTCATGTTGGTTAAATGGACATCAAGTTGGTAAACAGACAACTAGTTGGTAAACAGACAACTAGTTGGTAAACAGACATGTAGTTGGTAAACAGACAACAAGTTGGTAA